TGGCTAGATAACCAGGCACTAGGGTCAAACCAGACAGTCATGATATGGGTGATGATCGATCAGAACCATGCTGCAAATCTACGTTCTTGGATACTCGGAGACTATGCCTTTTCCTAACTGTAGTCTCTTTACCTCCATGAAATGTGTCATGGAGGTTATATTTTCAGTTGCGTTTATCTGTCCGTCTGTCCGTCTGTCTGTTGGTCAACAAGATAACTCAAGAACGCCTGGATGGATTGGTTTCATACTTGGTGTGTTGGTAGGGTGTGACGAAAACTGGAAATGATGAGATTTTGGTCCCCCTAGTGGCTTCCCTTGGTACTGCAGCGCAACTTCCGGTTTTGATATCTCGCGATCTGGACATGCTAGGGTCATGAAATTTTGATGGAAGGTAGCTCTCGTGCTTGGGAAGAAGTCATATGAGTTTAAGCCCCCTAGCGGCTTGTTCTGGAACTGCAGGGCACTTTCTGGCGAAATGTTTAAAAGCCAATAAGTCCAGACAGGAACAACATATTTTCATTATTTTTGGTGTGTAGGTAGCTGAGAGAGAGATGTACATAATTAAATGCAAATTATGCAAATGAGGACTTTATTTGCATAATTAATGAGGAAATTCTATAATTACAGTGTTTTACATTATCTCGCGATCTGGACATGCTAGGGTCATGAAATTTTGATGGAAGGTACCTCTCGTGCTTGGAAAGAAGTCATATGAGTTTAAGCCCCCTAGCGGCTTGTTCTGGAACTGCAGGGCACTTTCTGGCGAAATGTTTAAAAGCCAATAAGTCCAGACAGGAACAACATATTTTCATTATTTTTGGTGTGTAGGTAGCTGAGAGAGAGATGTACATAATTAAATGTAAATTATGCAAATGAGGACTTTATTTGCATAATTAATGAGGAAATTCTATAATTACAGTGTTTTACATTATACTACGTAACCTATGGCAGGCGGAACTTCAACAGATACTAATTATGCAAATGATGACCTAATTTGCATAATTAATATGAAAATTCTATGATTTCGTAATGGTGAATGATGAGAATGTCATACTTGGGACATCTGTAAGTTAATCAAAAGTTAACATACATCACGATGCATATATCATGTTAATGCAGAGGTCATTTGAACAATTAAAGAAGAAATTTACATTTACATATCAAGATCATATTTCATGGAGGTATGAGATCTCGGAATTCTAGTTTTATTATTAAAACAGCAAAAACATAAATACACACAAGATGACGTCGCACTCAAGTTCCATGGAACTTATATTAACGGCGCTATCTACACAAAATGATTAAACAGAGATATGCTGATTACATGGACAAATAAACAAATATACAAAATCCAAACAAACTAATTTGGGTTTAGTAAATGGAATTCAATGAGCGCAAGTCCCAAACCCTATCCCTTAGAACTACTGATAGGACATGAGTAGAATAATTGAAGTCGAAAAGATTAATCAGATACAAAACGACCACTTTTGATGATGAAATTCTGAGTAAAGCTCCTAATTTTACAATTAGTGTCAAAACTGCAAAAGGATGATCCGTAAAGTAAAAAAATATTGTAAAGAATTATCAGATAGGGAATTTACTGTAATCAGTTCAGGAATATAATTATAAACGCACGATATGCCCTAAAGAGTAGGACAGATTCAGTTTTAGAACAGGTTTTGGGATATTCGGCAATGGACATCTCATGTAACAGTTGACCTGCAGCTGCCGCATTTAAATCACGAAGTAGGTCAGTCTGTGTTTATACATGGACTCAACGCACTGTACATGGGAAATCCCGTAAAATAGTAACCTACCATATTTGCAGCCTATGTCCCTGGAATTTCGTTTTGATTGTCAATATGGATGGTGCAATTTGTAGCGTAGGGTGGTGGTTAAAATCGGTACAAATAGAGACTTGTGTTTTGTACACGAACGTCGATCGACAAAGCATACAGTAGAGACTACTACACTTCTGAAAGTTTCTTCCACACACAATTCCATCTCATTTCACATGCGCTGGTATCAAAACTGAAGCAAATATTTCCTTGCAACTACAGTGTTATCCAGCACCAGAAGCGCCGACTAGCAGGAAAGGGGAGTACCGTAGATTAGCAGCGATAGTTGTGTCAATGCCAGACTACCGAATTTTACATACAACATCTAACGTTTAGGAAGGCCCATAGGTACACTTAGCATTTTTTATTCCACTTTGTATTTTCTATGGGTACTTTGTATTTTCTATGGGTACTTTGTATTTTCTATGGGTACTTTGTATTTTCTATGGGTACTTTGTATTTTCTATGGGTACTTTGTATTTTCTATGGGTACTTGTTTATTTTCTATGGGTACTTTGTATTTTCTATGGGTACTTTGTATTTTCTATGGGTACTTTGTATTTTCTATGGGTACTTGTTTTTTTCTGTGTGTACTTCGCGAAGTTTTTTTGGTGGCTGGCGAAGCGACATTCATTTTGCTTTGATGTGGATGCTCCCATTTTA